AAAAGCTAATCTATTATTTTTATTAAAATTAAAAGTCATTAACTTTTATAAAAAGTCGTAGTTTAAAAGCATACTGAAAATGCTATTTAATAACATTCAAGGAGATGTTTTCCTTTAAGTATATTTGGCGATTAAACTCTTCTCCAAACCGTACAAGTGCTGCTCTGTTACGGCAACGCGGCGAACTACCGCGTTATCCTGGTATTGAAAGTACGTCGAATTTTTACCGAACAATAACCATAGAGCATAGAGCACACAGTATACAGGTTTTAATTAGGGTTTAATTTCACAGGTTTAACTTTTAACTTATTTTACTCGAAAACAGTTTTAGATTGAAAACCAATATAAAAAGATTTGGACAATTTGATTCCACACTACGATTTACAATTTTCACATCACATTTAAGATCTAATCGGTTCAGCGTATACAGACCTAAATATAAAGGAAATAGCTCCCCATCCTATCCCCCTGACATTTTTAATATGCAAAACCACGTCTCAGATGTGCATGGGGAACATCACACCATTATATGTAAAATTTGATGAATCTAGGTAGGTTAGGTTAGGAGATTATATTGTGGGATCTGTTAGTCAGTGGTATTTTCAATTTAAGTATAGAGATGATTTATTACTAATTTCTTTATAGATTCATCAGTACTACTGTTCTTTTAATTAGCTGAAAACAATGCTATTCTGTTCTGTGCACTGTTATGTATAAATGGGGTTTTGTTGTTTTCTGTTAATTTTTTTGCTATTTCAACAACTTTTGAAAATATTTACTTTATATGCTTTCATTCCAAAAAGAAACTACGTACAATATATACAATAAATAAATAAATAGGCCTAGCCGCTATCGTTCATTCAAACGTATTCGTTCATGAAAACACATCATAACAATCATCAGATTTTAAAACAAAAATTACGTTACCAAAGTCGACAAGGAAGAGATGGTTATTGTATGTTGCGTTGGTTTAAGGTTACAATATTATTGCCTGGTAATTAAATATTCTATAGCTGGAAAGAAATAATATATGGATCCGGCGACGAAAACCTTGAGTAGTCACTTTTAAATCAAAATATCAAATCTTTATTTACTAAAATGATCGGAGCAATTTTAGATATACAAATTCTGTGCGATTACTAAGTAAGTACATTACAAGTACAGTTACACTATAAGTAAAAGCACTAACAAATTTGCACCAACAATATCATGGCTCATAGACACTTCAAAACAAGAGATTATAGGGGTAGGGACACAGATTTTAACCTATTAACTAAGGCATTAGCTATGAATAATTTCGCTAACGATTGAAATGACGTGTCTTACGTTTCTAAGACGTTTTAAAACAAACATGAGTATTTTTAGTGACACAGTTTTGTGTATCTTCAGAAAAAGCTTCCGTTTCTGTCTACAATGAACCACACTAGTAAAGTAGCGTTTAAGTGAAAACTGGTGATGCAGAAGTAATGGTATTAACTTTCTTCGCAGAATTCTTTCTCCAATAATGTACTGCGAAGATATGTGTCTGGCAAGTATACAATCGATGCGAGTATAATATTTTACCTGTTTCGGAAATAGATTTGAAAAAGATACCACCTAAATATTAGTTTTTTGAACCTCTATCTACCTAAATATAATTTAACCTGAATACCGATTATAAGTATGCTTCTAAAGGTAGGTAAGTGAACCTCAAATCGCCCTTAAAAATCTCTCCAACGTATTTAACAGTAAATCAGATTTCTAATAATTTAGCAAGACACAGTTATAGTATAGAATAATAGCTCCTAAATCTTCTAGCCTACCAAACATACTAACTGAAGCTCCATGTACAAAAATTGATCCAAAGCTACATGTATTAACTTGAATCTTGAACCAAAGATATACTCCTCGTAGTACCTTCTTGGCCATTTCTTCGAACCTCCACAACCTAGTAAGCTATGCTCTAGGCGGAATTGATATGCACATTACCTCAGCCTTAAAGCCGAGAGGGTAACATAATTATCTCATAGTTAAAATCTATTGGAGATTGGCGGGATTTGAACCCGGGATATCTGGGGCCGAAAACTCACGCTCTACCACTTGACCATAATTCTCCCCAACTTTCTCAACAACAGCCACCCAACACCAACAACTTCAGCCCCTAAGCTAAACGAGCAACCCAGTAGCTAAACCACTGACAGCAGGGTTGCTATATATACCCCTGTCACTACCATTCACCCAGATCAGCGTCCGCGGCACCTCTCAGATCTCAGAATAGCCGTCGTTGTTGTTTGAGTTGCTCTGTTTGGTTCCATTATGTCAACTCTCAGGCCCGTGGGTCGGTCTGGTTCACTCCACTTTACACTTCCTAATGAACGCTGATGCCGACAGGAACACGGCGTTTCTAGGCTAAACACTTGGAAATTACGGTCGCTTGAAATAGCTCAAGTTAGGTAGTGTAGCTGTTGGTAGTGATACGAGTGGGAACGATCTAGATCCATGTGTTATTTGTTATTGGGCTGGCATATTGATGTTTTCTAATGAAATGTCAATGTTAGATATTAACAAGGCCGGGCAAAATAGGATCATGCCATTTTTTTTAGGGAGAGGAGGGAATATGCTTTTACGCACACAGGTAGCCAGCCTGTAGTGTGAGACTCCTGAATCTATCACAGACTACTCAATAAAAAAAACCCTCTACTCTGTTGGACACAGACCTGGAATTGTTTGTCACATTACTTCAAGTCAGGCCAACATGTGACCTAAGCCCCAGGGCCCTCAACATTTTTGGCATTTAGATACTTTATGACCTACACCGCATCTTGCCATTAAAAAGAACAACAGTTAAAAAAGTGAGCATTGTAAATGTCATGTACTCGTATTAAAGGCTCTGCAAATAATTGTAGGCACCCTTCAATTCATAACAACCACATAGCAGTGATTAATGGTACACGAACGAATTGACTTTTTTTATTTCTGATTTGGAATTGAAAAGGGGTGCTTAATTGAAAACCATCTCATGTAGCAAACTAACAATAAGGCACTATTTCCAAGAAGAAATTGGGGACTGTCACAAAATGTATTGATGATTAGCGAATATAACCTGTAAACATAAATTACGTCTGCTTATAACATGATAACCACAGAATGAAACGTACTGTCTGAAATTGTGTAAAAGAACTTAATGCGTTTTGTTGCGTCATTATCATCAGTTGTACAATAAACTATCTGTAAATTCCTCTAGACCAGAAAACATACCTACCTGTGAAATGAAAACTAAAATCTATGCTTACTGTTTTATATTTCATGCTGATAAATACGATGGGAATTTTATTAATAAATCCGGGAAAATCTGGTGTAAAAGTCAAACCGCTAAATATAAACCCAAGCCTATTATAACGCACCGTCGCTCCCCGAATTCTCTACGTTCCCAATAACTCAATTGGCTTCATTACACACCTCGTTCATTACCTTTTATCCCACTTCGTTCTATTTCAGAGCTGTTTTACCACGTGAAAAGAGCTTCAATTCCATACAGCGATGTCATTCCACCAGTTTTTGTTTAGTTTGAATTTCTAAAAGCTTAGCATAATTAACAAATAATTATTAAAAATATAAATTGTGAGAGAAAAAAACTATAACCGATAGTGAGAAGTAACTCGTGGAGTAAATATTAATTCATAACGAGATAGAAATATTAGGAATATTTTCAGTTTAGTAATAATTGCTTTGAGTCTCAACATATTTATATTTTGGCACTTCTAAACAAACAAAACAAAAATAATAGAAAAATTCAGGAAAGTAAATATGAAATGGAGCACAAATGAAGAAAATACCATGATTTAAGAGAGAAATCTTGAGATCTATGCTCATTCTTGATATATAACAGTGACTAATTTATATTACGACGATACCTTACATACCTGCCTGTATTACACAGTTCATGTATTAAAAAAAACAAGATTTGATTGGAGCATTATATAATGATAAAAATGTATGTTAAAAGTAGGACCAGGGCATGAAAATATGTTGGTTATGATCCCACAAATTAACTAGATATTCAAACCGATTCAAAAGCATGCAAGAATTATCGGGCGTGTACACTTGTACAGAATATATATAGAACACAAGAATACTTAAACAGAACCGGTATGGATCATAAAAATAAACAAATGGCGTGACTGGCCTGAAAGTAAACATTATTTAACATTGCTTAAAAGGAACTGTTCAAACCATGTTAATGCTATTAGTATAGGATTCGGGCCAGCAACGTCATTTCTTTATGTTTATTTTCATTCACTGTTTCTATACGCCAAATTCATTTTTTCTGTGAAGGAATTGTCTGAACTCAATAATTAATTATGTGAATCAAGAATGGGACATCCACGCAAGTAGTTTTAGTCAAGATCCTCCGAATCAACTAAATTGTACCAGTTTAAGCGGTGGACCAGAAACTTGTGTTTAAAACTCGCCTAGAAAAAAGTATAAACATTCTATATACTGCATGTGACAAACGCAATACCCTTGCTTCGCTACGGAAACTTTCAAATTGGTTGAAATTTGTGATAAATTATATTGTGCCACAATAAATTAGGTTAATGTCACAACTATGATGTTTATATGGTCCGAATTAACCATAGTTAACTTAATTTTTATTCTAACAGCTGATGATTAAATAAATTGCAGACAACTATTGTATTTTAAAATAGTTCTCATCTGCGATAGTGCAAACAAAAACCCAAAACAAATTATTCTTCCTATACGAACTCCATGCTAACTTTGACCTTCTGTGGGGGCGGGGCCCATTGGGAATTTTGTAAAATCGCTTCTTATTGTCTGCCTATGCTACGAGAGGAATATGTATGCAAAATCTCATTCTTCTAGGTGCTATGGTTTGTCCTGTGCGTTGATCGGAATTTCGCATTTATATATAGAGATATATAGTGATATAATATTTTCATTAGAAACTTTTCTAATGAAAAAAATTGTTTTAAGGTTCTTAAGGATGCTTAAGGACTTACCTAGTGTTTGGGGGCGGCATGGGCGAGGGAACCCTGGGAGGCAGGACGGGGATGGGGGTGCCTTTCCTGCGTATCCTTCCAACACCCGCCACCCCGCGCTGTACTCCGGGGGTCTCCACCTGGGCCATCCTGGAACATGACCAAGGACATTAGAATATGCTTCCTCAACAGACATGGAGGTTGAAGCAAACCTAATACCACAGACAACTACCCCACCATTTTATACTTGTAGTATCTTTCAATTACAACTCAAGGCTCTCACCCGAAAAGTTTTCACACATTACGTTGGAAATTCATTGGTGAATTAGTTGGGGAAATATTGGTGAATTCGGGAGTTGAACCTTAGGTTTGGGGGAGCAAAGCTCCGCTCTATACCCTAGACCAGCTCGACCCCTTCCCATGATGCACTATGGGAGAACATTCCATTTAAAGTTTTGGCCAGTTCGACAAAATAGAAAACCTAGTTTAGTTTAGACACCAAAAAATCTCCTCTTTTTTGGCTCGGCAAATATTAAATTTAGTTTTAAATACTGTATGGTAAAAAGTTTAAAATTAATTTATGGTATAACATTGCGAGTTTGAAAAATATACACATCTCTTGTCTGTTGACTTGAGGTTAAATCAGTAGATAGCCAACAAAGGGTCTTAGTACTGAAGTCAGACATCCGAATCTTAAATCTCGTCGTTGTTAGGCTCGTCACACACTGCGTCCGGTCCGGTAAAATCGGATCCGGTGTTTTTCACCGGATCCGGCAAATCTCCACACACTGCATCAGGCGTTCCAGTTCCGGCGACCAGTCAGTCTATGCGAGGACAGCGGTACTGTGAGTTGAAGAAGTTTTTAACCAACAACATAGTTTTAGTTTTGAACCAAATTTCCTTAAAGCAATGAGTGACAGTGACAGTGAAGAAGAGATCTTCGTAGTTGCAGCAGCTCTTGCTTCGGAAGAGGAAGAGCGTCTGCGACAGAAGAGGATGTGGGTGCACAGTATAAACGCGAGTAGAATAAATGAGGGAGAATTTCATACCTTGTTTCCACGTTTGATTGAGGACAACAAAAAGTTTTTTCAGTATTTTCGGATGAGTTATGAGAAATTTATGGAACTTCATTCTCTTATTGAATCATCAATCGTGAGAAAGGATACTAACTTCAGAAAGAGTATATCTACACAAGAGAGATTGGCAGTTACACTTAGGTAACTATATAAATATTAAATAATCCTTCATAAGTATTAAATAATGTACTGTATTTATAATATATTTGTGGAAGAAAATTTGAACTTTAAGGCGAGTATGCTATATTTGACACTTATTTTGTCTGAAATGATTTTAATTTTACAGTTTTGCCATTTAAATATTACTGTTATTCTTTTGTCTATTTCTAAAAATATGTGAAAATAGAGTTTAGGTTGAATGAATAAAGATATCTAGTAGTTAGTAAGTAATAGTTACATATTTATTTATTACAACAGTATCCATACGATTAGTATTGATTTGACTCAAGTAAACAAAGAGCTATAAAGGTTTAACAAAAAAAAATCAATATGATACTAAATTGATAATGTAAACAGAGATACTATCAAAAAACTTTACACGTTGTTGTCATTTAGCATCGTTAGCCACTGTCCAACATTTTCGGTCGTAGAAGGCCCAGGTGATGCCTGCTGTATTGGTCCATTTGAATTGCGGTTGTTGCGATGAATTGGGACGTTGTGCATGTTCATATCAAAACTTTTGGCAGAACTAGTAGTAACACCCGAAGCGGATGAGTTGTTTGAGTAAACAATAGGTTGAGCTCCAACTGATGCGACTGGCGTAAGATTTGTGTAAATATTTTCTCTGGATCGTTCCGCTTCAATCAGATTTTCCATCTCATATTTACTTAACAATGATGACATTTCTGCCTTAATTCGCACTTGATTGAATTTACTGAAAGTTCGGACTGTAGCCTCAGCAGATTTGAAAAACGTTGTCAAGTGATCATCTGCTTGTTTTACCGCTTTTTTCCCCTTATCAGCCAGATAACTCTGCAGTACTTGGGCAGTAGGAGAAGTTGTTATTTCAATTGTTTTCATCCTTTATGTTGCATTTCTGGAAGCTTCTGTGCCAATGTCACCACTGACATCGCTGTCTGAAATCACCTCTGCGGGGTTTAAATTCATTTGTTCTTCTTCGAAGTCATTGTCATCTTGAGTCATTTCCACTGTAGCTTCGCTTAAATTACTCTGCTGTTGGCGGCATAGAGTTAAGTGACCGGAGAGAAAAGACATTTGCTCCTCAAACTTCCAATTTTTTACAGATTTTGCAGCTTGGCCACTTTTAGTCTTCTTCTTCAGCAGAGATTTTCTATAGGAATCTCGTAGGTTATTCCATTTTTTCTTCAAGACATTTGCTGCAACCAATAAACTTCAGTTACGAGTTTTGTATTGAGTAAGTGCTAACCATATGCAAGGAAAAACTTTGTATGACAATTGACATAAGCTTTTAAAAAACGCTCTATTACAGTTATATTTTGTCCGATTTTTTTGATTTTGGTATCGTTTAATAGGGAATAAAAAAAATCTGAATAAAAGTGTTTTTGACATTTTTTCATAAAATTAGCCATTTTTGAGTAGGCCTAATTTAAGTTTAAAAAATTAAAATCGCCGCCAATTTGAAATTTTAAGTTGATTCAAGATGAACTTTTTTTCTAACACTGTTATCAACCTACATACCAATTTTTATAAGGATCGGTTGTAAAAATTCAAAAATAAAAATGTTTATGTAAAATATACAAAATGGCGGATATCTGGTAAACGAACCGATTTTGGAAAAAATATTATTCTTGATTTCCTCTTTATTTTGACCCATAGAACCGTTTCCCGGAGTTTGGCTGTTTACTTACGGGACCCTGTATATATATACAGGGTGATTCATATAAGTGTGCCAGCTGTTTTTTTCGATAACTATTCGAAATGTCACAACTTTAACCATTATTATCTTTGAAACGGTTAGGTTTATGAAAAAAAAAAACACAAGAGTAAAATTATCTTAAAATTATATTTTCTACCGGAATACATCATTAAATACAGGGCGTTTCATAAGAAAAATCAAATTTGGCGGCCGTATTGGAAAAATGGCGGAAAATTTTTTTTTCGACTTGACTACAATAAAAAAAATCCAGGCACTTACCATTTAACTTTTTTTGATATCACTTATAGTTTTCGAATAAAACAGCTGGCACACTAATATCAATCACCCTGTATATACATACATACAATACGTTGTCCTATGGGAATTTTTCACTGGAAAAAGTTATTCTACATGTTTGGATGTGGTTTTAATTTTATATATATATCAAAATTTGAACGAATAGTATAATTAGCCTCTAGGGACATCAAAATGAAAAAAGTATATCGGTCCCAGATTTTGCCATGCCACCTACGGTAATAGCTACTTCCCTACAGGGAAATTTGCTAAACCTTCAATTTTTTTAATATATTATAATAGGACCGTTTTTTTCAGGTTCCTTGGCCATGCGGGAACGTACAGAAGTGTTGCTTTCAGTTACAGGATGGGAGAATCTACAGTTGCGTCTATCGTACACTCCACTTGCAAAGCCATATGGGATGTGTTATCACCTTTTGTAATGCCTCAACCGACCCGTGAAAAGTGGGAAGAAGTGGAAAAAGGTTTTAACGAAAAATGGAACTATCCTAACTGTATTGGAGCGGTTGATGGGAAGCACGTGACTATGGAGAAACCAAAAAACAGTGGTTCTAAGTTTTACAATTTTATAAGAAAGGCTTCAGTGTTGTTTTGCTCGCGTTGGTAGACGCCAACTACAAATTTTTAACTGTTGACGTTGGTGCTTATGGGAAGAACAGCGATGGGGGAATTTTCAAAGAATCTGGGCTAGGGAAAAACTATTATGCTGGACTTTTAAATCTACCCCCTCCAAAACCACTGAACAACTCAAGAATCATCCTTCCTCATGTAATGGTGGCAGACGAAGCATTCCCCCTTCACGTGCATATTATGAGACCTTACCCTGGTACCCAGCTAGGAAATGTGGCAAACAAAGCATATAACTATAGACACAGCCGAGCCCGCAGGGTAGTGGAAAGTGCGTTTGGGATACTGGCGAAGAAGTTCAGAGTATATTCGCAAAAGCTTCAAGTTAACCCCGACCATGTTGATTTGATCGTGTTAGCAACAACATGCCTCCACAACTTCTTGCGAGGGGATGATGAGAATCTGTGGCGCCCAGGAGAACTTGAAGAAGTGGAAGAGTTTCACGGTCTTCAGCCTCTTACCAGAATAGGGTGCAACTCAGCTTTAGACACCTTTGAAATTAGAGATGGTTTCAGGAAATACTTTACTTCGAGAGAGGGGAAAGTGTCTTGGCAAGATGAGAAGATAAGTGCTGGTAAGATAAACTTATAAAACTGCGAGTGCGTGGTTAAAACAATGCCATTCAATACATTAAATAAAGTGGAAGAAGGATTGCCAAGTTTTAAATGGCAGTTTATAATTGTTACATTTTATAAGTAACAGTGACATAAAACTTGATGAAATTCCATGTCTGTAACAAAAATGTAGCTATTTTTAAAGTTAAGCCTTTAATAAACTATTTAACTTAAGCTTATTGCTTACCTGGTTCATTTAATTGTTCACTAATTTCTTCCCAAACATTTTCTTTCATCACAAGGTTGTAGTACTCCTTGTGGCCTAGGTCATATAAAACCGGGTACTCCTGCACTATCACAATCAACTTTTCCTCTAATGACATGCCGGATCCGATTTTACCGGACCGGACGCAGTGTGTGACGAGCCTTTATACTGCCTAGTCTGGTTGTCTGTAGAGTTCCCCCCCCCCCCCTCTGATAGGGGGACGATGTTTGTAAACACTGGCCACGTGCTGAGGTATACAACATATACACATGGCCCCATGCATGGTTCTTTGATACAACGTCACATCGCCCCCACATCAAATTACTTTATGTCACTTAAACATCACATCGCAGCGTGTCCAACGTATCACATATCATCGCACTAACGCCACATTGTACATGTGGCACATTGTACATCGCATAATATGGTAAAACTTATTAAATAACCTGGAATTCAATAAAATCACGTTGTTGATGTAAAGTGTCTCTTGCACTACGCTACAAACTTACTATCTCACTATATTGTAACATCTGAACCCATTCATGCCCATTCTGTCTGGGCATGTGATAGGGGGGAGCTGGTCTAGTTGTACAGCCCAGGGCTTTCGGACCCAAGGTCTCAGGTTCAAATCCCGCCAATCACCAATGTTTCGCGACACTCTCGAACTGGCCGGGAGTAATGTGTAAAAAGGTTCTGGGCTAGAACCAAGCGTCCCAGGATGATAAGGTGGATATTAAAACCCGTTTCTGGAAACATTAGAGAATATTTTTTTAGGATCCGATTTTATAGAATGATAGGTTCTATGTAGCTTAGAGGGGATAACCCTTTCAGGATAAAATGTATAATTAATAATGGAAACAGAACAAAGTGGCAAGTGTCTATCATATTTGCCGACAATCAATTGTAGAATTTTGCAGTTGAGGGTCAAGAGCTGGGCCTGAACATCTGGAGTTGAGAATCTATGTGGAGTTACCTTACCCCCTACGATCTTTGACTATTTTAAAACAGTAATGGGTCTAAATTTATGGATAAATAAAATTGTTGTACAAATATTTAAAAATAGTTTGTGTGACCTCTAAGTTTTAGAGATGTGTTGAACACATTTTGAGCTATAAATATTAAGGCCAACAATAGACTTACCTCTAACGTTAAATGGTAAAGAATGATGTCTAAAGATCACATTATTATTTATTTGACATATTTGACGTTTCAACTAAACAGCCCAGCACCGTATGTTCACGCCAAACCCGAATTTCAACACGAGTTTCAAGCAGATGTTTAGTCGCTGGCATCAGAATGCATCTCTTATCATCAGCTTGATGTCCCCAATCTGATGATCGTTTCCACTTGGATCACTTGAGCCCATCTCGCTAAGAGCTCTTTAAGTGATCTCTCGTCTCGGCGATTTTATAGCCTTAACACTCGGATAAGAGGGCTTTATTGTTTATATCACGCAAAGGCGTGTCCTTCGTGACAATGTTATGAGCCGTGATACAACAACGTTTCGATAAGAAAAGTGGTGTATTATTCAAACACAAATGTTGTGCATTATTTGCCAAATCAACTAGGTTTTAGTGCGTAGAAGCCTTCGTCTAAACTTTGTTAAATGAAATTAAAAAAATAAATGTCAAATGTAGAACAAGTTAAAAATATCAGACCTGTCTTTCCTGCAGCACCATATCAAGAAGTCTTGATTATACAAGATTACACAATTATAAAATGGAGGTTTTACAACAACGTGTTTTAACAAGTTTACGTTTTCATTTGACTATAGATAATCTTCATGTCCTCAGAACTAGCGTTATCTTCAACAACCCGTTGGGCAGTTAAATCTATACTCTTAATACAATTAGGGGGCTTCTCTGTAGCATATTTTTTTCAGCTGTCCTACCCAAACAATTTTCACGATTGATGTGTCATTTTAATGCTTAAAGATCCAGCCCCCCTGCGAATGGTAACGTAAAGGGTAACTTCTTTGTCCCCTTGCGTTTCAATTATTTCTAGAGTTCCCTTTCGAAGGTCTGGTTTCGCTGACAAACTTTCATTATAACGGTTTAAACATCGATTGTAATCTTACAGCTGATCCTTCAGTTGAATGTTTAACCACAGTCAGATTGTAAACAAGAGAATACGAGATCGTTTTTAATAGATTTTAAAAAGGATACAGAACAGTATTGATTATTGTAACCTGATTGGGGTAGGTCTACTATAGAGGTTAATAGAGGTTACTCTATTATGTAGATCTCAAATAAAATGTAATTGATTGTAAATTAGTTGTATTCCAAACAAACATAATCTTTGAAAAGTTAATGGGTAATATATTAAATATAGTTTTGAACTCTATGCACAATTAGCACACAAGTCCCAATTGTACCGATTTACTAGATACTTTCTACGGGTTTACAACTTATTCTGCACAACTTGTAACCCTGATTTATTCTCCAACACAAATCACTTGGTCTTCCCACTTCCTCGACTCCCCCAGTTCCTGTGACCAAGTAGCGTGGAGCAGAACGATCTGTCGGAGCCGCACGCGTGCTAGAGTGCGTAGCCGAATTATACACGCAGACGCGCCCACGCAGCTGGCCACACTTATAGACTAATGTAGCCTGAGATAAAGCCGCAGACGGAGCCTTCGCTGCGCAAGTTTATTGCGCTATAGCGTTATTGTGACGCGCGGTACAGTTTTCTGTAATGCGCAATAAATTTTGTAGACCTCACACGTTCATTGACAATTTATTGTCTACGTCACTGAAAGATTGTAATATGGTTGGAACATTGGTTAGTATAAAAGGTTCAAATTTTGCCGAGGTGTAAAATATCTCTTCGGTAAAATAACGTACTTTTAGTTATTCTTAGGTTAGGTTGAAGGCCAATAGATTTAATTTACAAATGGAGAGGGTTTTTTACAAATACCTTTTTTGTTCACGTTCTTTTCTTTTTGTCGAACACGTTTTGGCATTTTCCAGCTACTTGCGGTTCGTCATTGTTATAGACGGTACGAGAAAGACACATACAATATGAAACATATATTGTATTTCTTCTCACTACTATACTTAGTTCACAAAATTTAGGTGATTTTAGGGAAAGAAATGTATCCCCTCCACTTGAAACAATAGCTCAAAAACTGACGTTTTGCAAAATATCAATCAGCTCACATGTACATTGAGAAAAACACAACTAGGGGGGAACTTCCCTCAAATCTTCTAAATTTTGAGAACAGGCTATAGTAGCGAATATGTTGTCAAAAATGCTGTCAAACCTTGTAATTGGTCTTTTATGACAAAAGTGAACAACATTTTCCATCACGATGCAAATAATAACGATTTAGGCTTCTGTTGAGTACAAAAATGTTTGATTTGCACATAAAATTATTTGTATATAAAATTTGAGTACCCAAGACCATTTGAAGGATTAAAAAATAATAATTTAGTATATGTAAGCGTATTTTTACGGTTAATAATTAAGAAGTAAATTCAAAACAATTGTAAATTTTAAAAGTTATTCTTATGGGGAATATTGTTAAACTTTGTAGTTTGCTTGTTAATTGATATATTTTGACAAATCTTGGCACATTTATTTACTTTAAACTAACATATTAACGTAACATATTAACCTTACCTTATTTAAATAATTGAAAATCAATTTAAGCAAATTGAGATTCGCTTAGTCTACAGGTTTGCTGTCGGAGTATTTTAGAATCACGTTATCTAAATCACAACGTTCATCGTTTATAATTTTATTGATTCAGACATTTGACAGCTCATATTGTTTGGTGCCGAAGTGTAACCTTTCGCACGACCGATGAATCTGAAGGGCTCACTTTTGGAAATGGCGCGGTCGGGACAAAAGGCGCCTCCAAGGACCACATTAGGCCTAAGTAATTGTGGGTGAGAGGGAGAGTCTAATGATGTTCTTACACTTGAGAACGTGTGAATGTATGAACACTTGGGACGCGGGGCAACGCAGTGAAAGCTTGAGTTTAAAATGGAGTATTGTTTTCACGTAATAATTGTACGGGGTTGTTTCGGTTCCTTAGAGACCCCAGTTTTTGTGGGTTATTACGTTTAGTGAGATTTTGAGACAAAAAATGTACCTATTTACAATAATACATTAAGTATACATAGACGTAATACAGATAAGATTATAGTGTATCAATCGGCATAAGAACAGAATATACAATCATATTGTGACAATCAGGGCACGGACTGACTATAAAAATCATTATGTATCGATGAATTCTCGGACTAAAAAAAATCTTATTACGAATCAAAGATCAGTTCACGGTGTGACATAAATCGTGATGTATCGATGCACATGTAAAAAATACAAAAAAAGTATGTACAGTATAATTTTTTTTTTATTCTGTGACTGACACAGCTAACACTCTATAGCTAATCCATCCTAAATGAATCATGAATTCCATTTCATATTCGTTCGCAATTTGTCTTTGATTCCATATTATACCAATTTCTGAGGAAATAATTGAGAATATAAAGGGATTGATTTTTATTTCAAGAAAACCACTTGCTTGGAAACTACTTTAGTATAAAAGGTAAACATAAATAAGGTAAGCATAAATTGATGTAACATCAATTTAAAATCCAAAGTGGTTCTGTATATTTGATACGACAAAACCATAATGTGCCCACCAGCATCAAAGTACCATTCTAAGTTCCATAGTCGACCAGTTCCATAGTCCATTCTATTTGCTTATCATCTTCAGTTTCTTCATTTTCATTCTTTGATTGTCACGTAGCTTGTTAAAACTAATGTATAGTTTAGTAAACATAGTAGTACTAATGTTATGTTTGTTTATTGTTTTTTAATGTATGACTCAAGTTTAATTAATCTCCTACTTTTTATACCCACGCAAAAAGGGCGCAGCTACAAAAGACTTTTTGCATCGTCTACGTTCATATTCTTCTCCCCAAGGTTCATTAGCAAATGACTCAAGTGGTGTGATGTCTCTTGGGCAAAGCATTTACTTGGGAATATTTTAGACGCCTTTATTTCAACGCCAAGGAACCGAAACTTGTAACCGACTGCGATTGAAAAAACCTACAAGAACCAATTCAACAAATTGAGCCCTACTCTGAGAATATAAATTTCACATTATTTCTGCACCGACTAATTTCAGAAAATAGCCTCTTACTATTGCGTAGAGTGAGTGCGTTTTACAACTTTTAAAACTTTGCTTTAGTAGGCACAATTCGTAAAAATCTTATTTCTGTATCTCTCATCCTCCTATATTAAGACTAGTTTAGCTGTTTGTGTTAGCGTTTTATCACGTGATAGAGTGTTTAAATTAGTTGATAATTATTTCTTCTATGGTAGGTAGATCAAAATGGTTCTACCTTTGCCTAAACTACATAGCATTTTACGTTTTGATTATATCTTCTACAAAGGTGAAAAATACTTTACGTACATTAAAATATGAAGTGTTGTTAAAGAAGTGGGTATATGCACAGCTAAGCAATTTCTTCTTATTCAAAACTTAAAGTAAAACATTTAATCCGAATGTATTTCCATTGATCTGTCCTGTTCGATAAAGGGTTTTGTTTTTATCTATCACAAAACCGTTCCATATCTGACAACGTTTCACATAAAGGTCGTTATAACATAATCCTATTTTAACAAGATACGTGACCTTTTTGGAACCGGGTGGTTTAGCTTTTTCCTTAGTGGTTGTTTACAAATTGTAGTACATTACCGCCTTAGTATAACCTCAATCTCTTATCATAAAAAAGGGTTATTACAGTTTCTGTAAATAATTACTAGGTAACTTTTGTAGCCTATGTACGGCAAATTCGTACGGGCTGTATCAAAATGATAAAATAATTTTTTAAATTTTGAAATACATTTTTTTATCAAAATGATAAAATATTTTTTTCCATTTTTTCACTGATACATCCACGGTTTCAGTAATCAATTTCACAAAAACGTGTGACTTTGACAATATTCTATCAAAGACTGTACTATCGCAAGCCTTCATTTTGCAAAGTGATCAAAAGAAGTGTTCGGTCAAACGCCTTAAAAGCCAAGGTCAGTGACAAAGCTGCTGTCAGATTCTAAAGGTCACCTAGGGGTCAGCCACCCACTAAGATGACCTTTGATCTTGACGGCTGACAGCTCACAAGAAAGTAACGTTCAGCATAATGAGGAGCAAACGGTGCTTGGAGAAGACGTCTTGAGGTTGCGATGCCAAGAACAGTTTTATCGAATTGACTGTGGTATATATTTGTCCCTTTATATATATGTTTGAGTAAAACTGCATGACAGTTAGTACTAACTCTATGTCTTATATATAAACATTAAAACACGAAGAGAACGTTAAAACACATAAGATGAGTCACTTGAATTAGTGCTGGTACTGCAGAACAGCGTTGTCGGGTTCAAGTCCTGATGAACCCACTCAAAATAATTAGTACAGTACATTTTTGTATTGTTCCAGTTTTCACCCCACGGTTTTATTGACAAATACGCAAAAACCATAAAAACCAAGTGGATTGAGAATTTCAAGGAAAAATTGCAGCCAACCTAAAAAAAATTTCATTTACGCTTAGTCCAGGTGAACTGGTGGTATGTGGTATGTGAGATAGACCCGGACGACATAAAATACGTTGTGATCGAGATGTTTTATAAATTATGACCAGATGGGGTTCCCCCAGGGGTCGTAAGTAGGAATATTGTCGCCATTCCAGAAGCTGAGTCATATGATTATCATCTCCCACTTCACCCCCCCCCCTCACATAATCCACCCCTCCAACCACCCCTAACCCCTTTCTGTGATTTTATCTCCAATTAAACACATCGTGGCTATCACTCCAATGTTTGTACAGTCTGAGGTTTGCAATCGTCATAATTTTAATTTTCAATATTGATTTTGTTATGAATTTTTCGTGATTTAAAACATATTCGAGATGGATAAAAATCCACTACTAAACACTCAATTTCGGGGTAGGATCATTAAATTTTAAACTAAATATATCTCAAATAATTTTATCAACTACTTTACTGTTAGTATTCATTTGGACGAAGAAAAATTATTAAAAACAGATCCGTGTGATGAAAAAAATAAAAACAATATTTCTACACTATATATTTCTAAGCTCTTTTAAAACCTGTAATTAAAATCTGCAGTTCAAATAGTATCGGTAAATGAAAACTTTTTAAAATCAAAAACTTACTGGAACATGTTCGAAACAATTTAAGGAACGGTAAAAATAATGTACTATTCTCTCCTGGGTATGTATATTTTTTGTTAGATTTATATTAAGCCACCTAACCACCAAATTAACACGTCTAACTAAAACAATATCACAAATTAATAAGTCTACTTCCTAACACAGAGTCCTTATTCGTTCTAACTGAAAATACTATAATCTCTTCCTATGAAACAACAATTTAAAAATTATAATCTCATTTTAAGTATTACTGCAAAATCCTTGCATTAGTTCCAACTCCACTAAAGCTCTAGCAATCTTACTCCTTTAAATGCAATTAGTCCAATTGGCTGCTAATTGATAAAACCTACTAGGCTGCCGATTACTCCTTCAGCTCCATAGAGGACATCCTGTTTTTGTACATGACCCATTACATATCTCTTCAAGACAATTATTCACTTAGTTTCAAATTCACAGTTTGACATAGGCTTCGTAAAAAACATCCCATGCCTCTTAGAGAGAGAAAAGAGAGTTACAACAGTGCAAAACTAAATAAATAAATCCTAAAGTGCGTTTTATGAGAACACATTTAAAATTAATGTACCAGATTCATTAATAAACACTAATTATTTTCAACGGTCCTAACAATCTAATTTCATTAAAAAATTAATTCCACTGCATATCCACATTTCGAGGGGTTTCATTTATAGAGGTAAAACGTGTGTAAAACTAAACTACATCACTTTTGTACAGAATTTACAAGAGACTGGAACCGCTTTGTGAAAAATAATCCTACCATGAAAAAAATGCAGGATCATGTTTGCATATAAAATGAAGGTTGCCTCAGTGTTTCTAATATTTTTAATCAATTAGGCATTTTAAACTTTATAAAACTTTAACATACGTCATTAATCTCCCATTACCTTAGTTAAGACACACACCCACCAGTTACAGTCAGCATGCTTCACTTCAGAATTATGACGCACAACACGCTACTAAAGGGACCTCTAGTTTCACAAATCCCCTAAAAGATGTGGCATTTATGTTACCCTCTAAATAGTTCCACCAATGTAGTAACTATGGGCACAGTTATTCTTAGATTCGTGTTGACTCCAATGTATGCGGTTGTATCATTATACAACAGGATGGTTATAATAATTATATTCTATTTACAAGGTTGAAACAAGATGATTGACAGTCTAAAAAATACACACTTAACAATTAATTATTAATTAATTGTACAAAGCAAATGAGTTTAAACTTAGCCTATAGTTATTTTTACATTGTTAAGTAAACCAATAAATATTTACCGTTCAAAAGCAACACGTTGACTTTTTGAAGCTTGAGTGATGCAAGACGATATCAAATCGTGAATGTTAAAAAATTAACCCACAGTGAAATAACCATCACTGCGACTTTTTTAGTATCTGTCAAGTGTTTTTATTTAATACAAATCCAGGCAATTTAGTAAGTCTTAATTAGAGTAGTAAAAATCACAGTAAATCTTATCGAGTTGAAGAGTTACAAAACAAATAACTACGATTTGATTTAACAAAACAAAATTGTATAATATAGCTCAAAAATAACTTTGAAAAAAAAAGTGCAATCTTATCAAAATTAACTTCCACAGTGTATCGACTGGTTTTAGTATAGGTTTTTATCGGCACGACCTCCCCCACTAACTTCAGTATTTCACAAATACAGTACAAACGTTGTAAATCTTGGATATAAACAATCACGCCACGTATATTTCGCACATGTGTTTTTTAACTCAATCTCCATTTTTACCGTTTCTTTAGATAGCTGTCCTGGTCATTTCACTATCTAATGTTTCTTAATGTCGCCTTCCTGCAGAATCAAACCAGCAGCCTCAAAACTCTAAAGCGATCACTATAACCATCCAGAGTCCAAACAATGTAATACACATAATACATATACAATGTTACTATGTTACTACTATGTACTATGTTACTATGTTATGGATACATATACTATGTTTACTAGATCAAACCATAACACAAGTAACCTAAAGTGTGACTCAGTCCATATCTATGTTTTTTGTGCGGGGGTTTTGACCTTTATCAGTAAACAAACTTCAGTGACCCGTAGAACCGGTCTGGTACATGTCGTTAAAACCACTGTCATCAAAATAGTGACAGAATTGATATAGTTGATTTTTAACCGACTTTTATTAATAACCAAACTGATAAAGACACTCGAAACTTATCAGGCAGGCATAGAATTAATTTCGAAAAACCTATTGGAAATTAGACCTATAGCCTAAGTTTTTAACTATTTCGGGAACGCTTAAATTCTTATATTTATTTGTTTAAAAGCGTTACATCAATTACAAATGCACTTAGAAAGTACCATTTACACGTTACTGAAAACTGATTGACATTAACAGTGCAATCTCTATCTATAATGCGGCCACCTTCAGCATTGGTATACTACAAAAGATTGCACTGTAGATGTATTTTCTGTGATCATTAGCAAAATGTAAAACGTATTTTTTATTACACTACTATATACCAGAAAACAACTAAATCTGAACAGAATCAACGTATTATTAGTTTTTGTTTAGGACTATCAAAATAGCTTAAAATCTCCACAACATACAATGCGAGAAAAAATTAACTGTACATCCCTATGAATTCAAACTTTAACCCTGACAATAGCCTATAAACGTATACCTTAAAAACGTTAAGAGCTCCCTTATCACAGAAACTTCAGGAAATGGCAGAACCCAAACATTATGCACCAAGGTATACAAGTCTGATGACCTAGTTGTAGTGTTATCAACAACAAAGGAAAGCATAGTGTGAACAAAACATAATACTGTTCCTGAATGTAATTCAGAGTTTTAGTCGCCTCATTCGACCCCTAGAAGCATCGGTTCACCCAGATAAACAAAACATAATATTAGACATTGTTAAAATAATAATACAGCATATCGTTAATAATTGCACAATGCAATTTTGCTGTTCCAATATGAACATAAGTGTTAGTATAATGTGTTCACTGAATGCGAGAGATAAGGTTTAAACAACACGATCAGCAAATTAGTTAAATGTTCATATACAATTAGGTATATTGTGTCTGCCGTAACGAATAAATACCTAACCTCTTTACTTTTATCAACATGTAACTTTTCCATACTTGACTTATTGTACTTTAAAAACCATCTGGTGTACTATTTCTGTTACAACTTTTTGTGAATCATTTTTGATATTGTTTCCATTACATTAATGGTTACTTCACCATATTTTAGTTCATTTTATACGAAATTTGGAAAAACTCGGCGTTGCAATTAGTGTGTTTATAGAGTAAAAGAGTGTCAAGAAAATGGCCAAAACATCATTTGACCTAAAATCCATGCCATGTTCATTTTTTAGTTGTACGTAATCAAATATATTAAACAAAATTGGTGAAACTCAATTTTAATCGAAGCATGTGCACCATTAATTCCTATTTTACACGATTTCATTAACCGGGAAACAATAGTATCTAAGTAAACCTAGCCTCAACGATTAAGAGTTTACCCTGAACATCTTCGCTACACAATCCATTCTTTTTCCCGCCAAAACTGCAGCCCTCCCGCCTCGGCGCGTCGCTGCAATTATGATATTACACGACACATTTCCCTCTGGAACCAATGTAGTCCATCCACTCATGTCTTTTCAATCCCGTGACATTTCTAGAGGAAAATTTGAAAAGGCTGCATTGTGAAAAGGAATGAAAGCTCGTTCGATGCTGACTAAAGTTAGAGAGAATTTAAACTCACGTGAAAGAATCATCGTAGTGAAATAATACAATAGCCTAGTAATTTAATTTTGCTAAAAACAAGCAATATATCCAAAAATTAGACTTTTGCATTCTTATTTTCCAATGAATAACTATTCATAACGGAATTTATTTATGGTTTTCATGTTCCTAATGAAGTGAGCTAACGATTGACTGCATGGCATTTTTATTGGATTTTTAGTACAATTAAAGTATATTCATTCGCAATATGACTATAGCATTGC